GTGGAGATCTTTTTTAAACGTTGGAACCTCATTTAATTTTATGTCTTATAGAGTTTATAATGAGTAAAAGATTATATAAGGGTAATAATTCATCTGTAAACCTAGAAATGTACAGCCAATTTTGAAAGAGATGTACCCTAGCTCAGAAAAATGTTATTGAATAGGTTAATGCTGTTGTAATGAAATGCTTCTTCTAATAAAAAAAAAAGCAAACGAAAAAAAAAATAAATAAATTTATTTGTTTTTATTTTATGTGTATGAGTGTTTCTGCCTACATGGACATAAGTGCACTTGTGTTGTACAAAGCCTGTAGAGGCCAGAAGAAGGCATCAGCTCCCCGGGAACTGCAGTATGTTAACCACCATGTGGGTGCTGGGACTTGAACTTGGGTCCTCTGGAAGAGCAGCCAGTGCTCTTAACTGCTGAACCATCTCTCCAGCCCTCAAAATTCAAAATATTTACCTCTTTTGAAAATTTGCAAGGTCTAAATAGCAAGACCTGCTAATATTGTGTAGTTCTGCCCAATAGGACCAGAGCTGGGTAGCACATGCTCCTCAGACACACAGCCCCCACTTTGCTGCTTGCTCTGTCTTGCCCTGCTCCTCCTGCTTTCCACCTGTCTAGCCCTGAGTGGTGCTTGAGGCTGCAACCCTGGAGAGCACTTGTCTTTCCTGCCTCATCACTCCTTCTCTGTAGATTTCAGTGTCCTTGTTTAGAGATCTCTGAGTCATTCCATTTTTGTGTTCCCTGCGGTTAGATCAATAAATGTCTCAGATCCCAGGGCATAATCATGACAGGCAGAAGAAGCTGGAATTACCATGGCTACAGCCTAAGGGTGAAGTATCTGGTTTTAGAGGCAAGCAAGGGCTGACATGCAGTAACTGTTCCCTGAGCAGCGTGTCTGGTGACTTTATATGACAGACCCTTCCCTTTTGCATCTATCTGGCAAATGAAGACAGGGAAAGAGTGACATCAGGATGGGCTGGTAGAGGGAAGTGGCCTTTCCTCCCTGTGATGACCCACTCTGATCTCTCTGCCCAGAAAAGAGAGTTAGAGAGAATTTCAGACAGAGGCATGTTACCCAAAGTGCTAGGAAAGCTCCCATGGCTGCTAATAATCATCTGTATCTCCAGTTCCAGGGGATTCTGTATCCTCCTCTGTCCTCCGTGGGAACTGCACACATGTGGTAAAAACATGTGGGATTTGATACCCTCCTCTGTCCTCTGTGGGCACTGCCCACATGTGGTATACACATGTGGGATTTGATACACTCCTCTGTCCTCTGTGGGCATTGCACACATGTGGTATACACATGTAGGATTTGATACCCTCCTCTGTCTTCTGTGGGCACTGCACACATGTGGTATACACATATGCCTGCAGGCAAAGCACTCATACACATAAAAATAAAAATTTTAAAAATTAAAGAGTGTGTTGTCTTGTGGGGCCGGAGAGATGGCTCTTGCAGAGAACTAAGAATGAGTCCCCAGTACCCACATGGCAGCTAATAACCATCTGTAACTCCAGTCCAAGGGGATTTGACACCCTCTCTGGCCTCTGTGGGTATTAGACATACAGGCACACTTACATCCATGCAGGCAAAACATCTATACACATAAATTTTTAAAAAGTGTTGTCTTGTAATGAGAGATTTTAAAGTGAAAAAAAAAAATCCGTTGTTCCCAGCTTGACTAAAAGCTTTGAAGCAGTAGGTGTAGAGAGCAGTTTTCTAGATCTGTTCCAATCAGTTTTACTTCTTGAATGAAAAGGACCACATAGTTTTGAAAAGCTAATCTCATATTGCTTATTTTAAACTTTGTTTTCAACAGAAGCTCTTTAGCACAGAGAAAACACTTCTCTCCAGACTCAGTAATTTTTCATTCTTTATCTCTCATCTTCCTTCTAAAACTCCCTCCCCATCTGTTCACAAACAAGTATGCCCCATGCCTCTGTCCACCCAAATGAAGGCCTGTTTTAAAAATTAAAACTAGAATACCAAGGAACTTAAGAACTGATGGACATGTCAGAGGCTATAATTGAGCTAAACTCCCTCTTTGAAGAAATTAGCCCAGAGAAGCAAAGGAGCTTCCTCATAGTCAGATGGCTACTAAGTGACCCTAGCCCGTCACCCCAGGTACTAGTCTAGTCAGTCAACAGTTCCTGTTGTACTATACCCAAAGAGTGCATCATAGGTGAAGTAGAGGCAGCAGGAGCAAGAATCATTGCAGAGACAAAGGTCTTCTTGGATTATGGGACACTTACTCTTCTTCAGGACTTGCCGGCACTCAGGAGTGATGGTTGGAACACTGGACTTGGACAGGGCGTTAGAGAGCACTTCAATGATGCAGTGAGTCACCTATGGGAAAACATAAAAACAGACCGGAGAGGTTGGTGTCACCAGAACACAATTCAACCAAGCGCTCCTGTCAAGGGAGACATGAGCATGTGATTTGTACTGATGCAGGATCCTTAGGGCAGGGATACAGATGCAGGGCCATGAGGAAGCCTCGCAGGGTGCTGCACAGGAAGATGCAAGAAGGCACTGGATTGTGATAACTCTGAGAAAGGGAGTAAACAGCCATTTCTGAGCAAGTCAGAAGGAAATAGCTGGGATGACACAGGTGCCCTCTGTCTTTGAATGACGTGTACTTACTGCATCAGGGGCATCCTTTGTCCCCAGTTCTCAGGGGAAAAAATTGACTTTACAAGACAATGGGAGAGGCGCAGTATCAAAGGGCATAGAAGAATCTAGAGTCTACATGCAAGTCTAGTTTCTAGACTGACATTTCAACTCACCATTTCTTCATTGTGGTCCCTGCTATCCACTGGAGCTGAGCTGACAGCTTTGAAAGAGAAAAATGGAAAATGTCTTGAGTTGATTTTTTTGGAGGCCATGTGAACCCAAATCCACAAACCACCTTGCTTTAGATGGAGGGGGCGGAGGCAGTGTGGCAGAGCACAGACCTGGGGTGATTACAGTGACTGTCATTATCCAGTTGCTCATGCATACCTGTGTACATGTGCATTCTTGTGTGCACACACACAAATATACACAGTTGTTTCCCCAGCAATGCCTTAAACATATTTGGTAACAAAAGATGTCTTACATTCAATATAAATCAAATCCAGACTGAGAATAAGGGGTGCTTCTTAGGTTTTGGTAACTTAACATTTCTTTTTTTTTTTTTTTTTTTTGGTCTTTTTGAGACAGGGTCTCCCAGTAGCCCCAGCTGGCCTGGAACCCACTATGTAGACCAGGCTGGCCTGGATCCACCTGCCTCTGACTCCCGAGTGCTGGGGTTAAAGGTGTGCGCCACCACCCCCTCAAGACATTAACATTTCTTTTTTAAAATTAAATTTATTTTTACTTTATGTGTATGAATGTTTTGCCTACATGTATATAAGTGCACCATATATATGCAATGCCCACAGAGGCCAGAAGGGGGCATTAGATGCCCTGGAATTGGAGTTACTAACCATTGTTAGCCACCATGTGGGTGCTGGGAACTGAACCCAGGTTCTTCGTAAGAGCAGCCAGTGCTCTTAACCATTGAGCCATCTCTCCATCCCCAATTTACCATTTCTTGTTCTGCTTGCTGATTATAGTTGTTCTGAATTTGTGAAAAACTTTGTTAAGCTATATATTCATACACTGTACAGTTTTTTACATACTGTACTACAATAAAAAGTTTTCAGAAATCTAAATAGGTGCTGTGTGTGGTAGCACACACTTTAATCCCAGCACTCAGGAGGCAGAGGCAGGAGAATCTTTGTGAGGTAGAGGCCACCCTGGTCTATATATCAAGTTCCAGGCCATCTGGGGCTACAGGGAGTGTAATCTAAATAGAATCAGAATGCTCTCCTCAACCCTTTTTCTCTGTCTACACTAAGTAGCTGAAGATCTATGGCTCTCTCTGCCTATCCTTGTTCCCAAGAAAAGATCCTCCCCAAACCCACTTTACAAAAACATGGTTATTAAATAATTAATTACTACAGACCCTCGCTTAACCAAATTTGCTTATAAAACTGTTTCAAGATTATGCTTCCCTACTCTGCTCCAAAGACCTAAAATGGCAAAAGTGTTTGGGAGCTTTTATCTAATCCGTAGAAGATTTTAGGGTTACCTCTTAAGAGTGGGGAATGTTAGAGTAGCCAAAAGTCCCATAAATGAAAGAGTACATGAAGGTCTCACTCTGAGCATGCCCCTGGCCCCGCCCTGGACCTGCAGGAGGTGGAGAGCAGGATCGATGCCAAGTGTTTCACCAAGAAGATGGACGACAGTGCGCTGCAGGTCAACCACACGGCCTACGAGATTGTGCGAGCAGGTGACTGGCTTCAAGAAGGGGTATCAGAAGGTGGGCCAGTCCTTTCGCGGCCTCAGCCAGGCCTGTGAGCTGGACCTGCAGGCCTTGTCCGTGGGCCTGAACCAGGCCACCGCCTTCACCGGACACACTTACGATGCCATCGGAGAGCTCTTCGCGCAACAGCCCAGGCAGGACCAGGACACAGTCATGAACCTGTTAGCACTGTATCAGGGGCACCTGGCCAACTTCCCAGACATCATCCATGTTCAGAAAGGAGCTGTCTCCAAAGTAAAGGCGAGCAGGCAGCACGTGGAAGAAAGGAAGATGGAAGCCCAAAAGGCAGACAGCATTCAAGGCCGCCGGAACGCTCCTTTACCACGTGGGCCGAAATCCACCACTTCCATCAAATTAGAGTAAAAGACTTTAAATCACAGATGCAGCATTTTTTTTTACAACAGCAAATAATATTTTGCCAAAAAATGATCCAGAAGTTGGAAGAAGCCCTTCACAAATATGTTAGTGTGTAACGACTGGACATGAATACGATAGAGTGTAACGGCTGGACATGGGATTGTGCTTTTTTCAGTTCAAGGATAATTTCTACAGCAAAATAAAAACTGCTATCAAAGAGCTGTTGCCAACTATCAGTGGTGGTACAAGAATGGTTCTCTGTTCAACTGAAGCCCAGCTGAACATAAAATTATGTAAGAGAGAAGCAGTTAATATGGTTATATATTAGAAACAGTACCACGCTTTGTAACTAAATTATACTATGCATGCCTACACTACCATTGTAACTTTTGGAATAATGATTTTACTATTTGCCTTATTGCTTTTTTTGGAAAAAAAAAAGGGATGGGGAGATATGGGAGGTGTTGGAGGGGAGGGAGTAGGCAGGGATTTGATCAAAACACCTTATATGCATATATGAAAGTCTCAAAAAGATTACGTTTCCCTACATAGTCTACAACTATGTGAAGAACAAAGCTGGAGTCAAGCTCTCTGACACACTGCTAAGGTTGGAATATCGTATGCAAACTGGTGTTTAGCAATTGGTGTATGACAATATTTTTAAAGGAAAAATTAATGTTCAAGATTTTGAAATCTGATTAATGAAATCAGATTTAATGAGATTCTGCCTGCCTTAAAATAGCGTTTGAAGTGCTTCTGTCTGTTAGGAAACGCTCCAGGTGATTCTCTTTCCCCAGCGCTCTCCCTTTCCCTTTGCTTTGACTCATCTTTTTTTCCATTAGAGAAGCTCTAAGCATTTACACACAGGTCCATCTCTATAGCCCTCCTGCCACTTCCTGGAGTAGACAATTCCTGTCATGGTGGAAGAAACTCAGATTTCTAGAAACTCAGAAACTAGAGATTTCTTCTTAGTCCCCAAGATAAAAGAACTATCTGGGGCAAAAGCAAAAATCAGGCATCAAACATAGAAACTACTCCAATGCAGTTTAGTAATAACCAGCAAGCTGGCCTTTCCTTCACAGTGCTTTGTTCTTGAAGCTCCTTCAAACAGGTACTCACCCCGCCCAAAGCACCATCATAGGGACGCAACCTAGAAATGAAATTCCAGGGGCTGGGGATATAGCTTAGTTGTAGAGTGCTTTCCTAGCATGCGTGAGGTACTAAGTTTGACCCTTGGTAGAGAGAAAGAGAGAGACAGAGACAGAGAGAGAGACAGAGAGTGAGAACCTCATTTGCTTACTTTACTAAATTTTCTTTTACAAAGCATAGCCTGGATCTACTCCAATTTTTCATGAGGCCCAAAGTTATCGAGCTATTATTAGGATCATTTTAAATGTTTGAAAAGTACCTAACAAGCTCTGAAGAAAGAGGCTGAATTCTTCCTCAAACTCAGGTCAGACAAGACCTGGATGACCAGCCTTTGGCCCCCAGGGTTTGATATGCCTGGCTCTTTTCTTTTTTCTCTTCTCTTCTTTTCTCTTTTCCTCTCTTCTTCTCTTCTTTCTTTTCTTTCAGTGCTGAAGACTGAGCCCAGGGCATCATATGTGGCCAACAATCACTCCACCACTGAGCCCCAGCCCTGTGCTAGTCTCCACAGGACTGTTATTTTGAGAGCATACCCACTTTGGCATTTTTCTCTTTTCACCTGAAATCTGTGAAATTCTCTGGGAAGAAATAACTGTGGAAGAATTACTCCCCTGATAAGCTAGAAGTTGCCCTTTCAAAACTCAGCTCCCATAAACCTTTAGTAATGCAGTTCCATGCAAATAGTTGTCTCTTTTGTTTTTCTCAAGTGTAAAATGGATACTTTAACTACGGATATTGCCAAAGTATTAATACTTATCAGATTTGATGGGAGATAAACATTTCCATTATCCTAGACAAGTTGTAGTTTACATTTATTATTACAAAACACCTGTTTTCCTAGTGGAGGCTCTTCAGACTCATTTTAATGGAAAAGAAGTAGAGTTTGCTTATGAAGCACATTATGTATGTTGGTGAGACTTCTAAGTACTGTGTATTTCCTCCAATAGAATCTGTGATGGCAACATAATAACCAAAGACATTGTATTCTCCTAAATTGGTTTATTTTTGTACCAAATAAGAAATTTAATGCTTATGTTAAAAGTGAAGTAATCAAATAATTTAAACTATCAAAATAAATCTGAGAATAACTTCTGAAGTACTAGCATGAATAAGACTATTAAGATTTGATCCCATATTGAAATTACAGCTACAAAATAGGCTAATCATGTTAAGCTATAAGGACGCTCCAATCCCACCTAAGCTGCAAATCAGGCAAGATCTGGATGGCAAAAACCTTCTACTCCATAGAATATGGATATCATACCCTGTCGTTGCTTCACTCATACTAGGTTTTACAGTGCGCAGTAGCTACCATAGAGGATTGTAGATCTCCTTCTAGAAACTCTTAAGAGTAGAAAATGAACTAGATGACTTCCTGAGGTCTCCCTACCAACTATGATTTGGCTAAATAACAAACTGCTTGAAGATCATCGTATCTCATTGCGGAGAAAGAAATGGGGAGGTGACTGCCAGTGGGTATGGGGATCTTTCTGGGATGATGAGCATGTCCTGAAATTTGATAGTGGTGATGGTTAGTCTGTGGATATTCTATATACCACTGTCTTAGACCCTTTTAAAGGCTGGATTGTATAATGTGTGAATAATAGCTTAAAAATTTTAAAGAATATCACATCTCCATTTGGCTACTATTAAATATGATTCTTTGTTAAGTATCCTTTTATGTAAGAGCTATGAACGTATTTGACCACCATAGTTAAATGAATCACACAGATGTCAGTAGTCTAGAACACAACATACACTATTAGTACAACCCCCAGAAATCCCTTCCTGAAAAAATTTTTGACTAGAAAGAATTCTAAATTGTACATTTTGTTTTCTTTAATTAGAGAACATTTATTAGTATTTTTAAGAATAACAAAAAATTTAGAACACTGTGAATGCGATAAAAAATTAAGATTGGCTTTCATTTTTATGCTTTATTTATATTCATTTTATGTGTATGAGTGCTTTGCCTGCATGTATGTAAGTACACCACATGCATGCTACCCACGGAGGTCAGAAGAGTGTGTTGGATCCCCTGGAACTGGAGTTACAGATGGTTGTTAGCCATTGTGTGGGTGCTGGGAACTGAACCTGGGTCCTCTGCAAGAGCATCCATTGCTCCTAACCATTGAGCCATCTCTCCATCTCCTAGTTTTCATCTTGCCAAATATTTTGATCTAATGATTGCTATCAATAAAGTTTTACCTTCACTGTTTCCTAGATATCTCAGTTCTAGTTGGGAATCTCAGTCTCAGAGATTTAAGATTTCTGTAGGTCATTTAAAGCAGCCAAAGAAAATCTTTAGATTAATTTGGTAGGGTTATACTTTCTTTTCAATAGTCTCAATAGTGACTTTACTTGAACATATATCACACACACACACGCACAGACACACGCATGCATGCACTTTCCAAATCTTCAGAGGTCATTTCTTTGAGATTAGAGTAGCTTGAAAAGTAATACTACAATCTTCCACACAGAAACCGGTCAAATACTTACTGCTCAAATTTCCATCCCCCCATATCTACTGAAGCATTATTTCACTCCTCCGGAGATACTGTGGTTGTGGTTGTTTCACACTCTTGTTTTTTGTGGAGTACAAAAGTCAAAATATACAGTGAAGCTTCCATTCATAACTTAAAATTGATCAATTTATACGTGAAATTATCTCCCTTTAGATACGGAGATACAGGGCATCAACATAGTAAACCTGTACACACAGATCCATGAACACACTATGAACATGCTGAGAAAAATGTGTCTTTCACGGGACTTAGTTCTGACTGTGTTGTTATAATAATAAGGGAAGTTCTCCAGCTACCAACTAATATCGCATGCATTCCACCTCTCTGCAGTCACCCGCTAACAGGAGTCAAACACACAGAATCAGAGACAACGGGCGTCTCTCTCGCTGGGCACAGAGCCCGACATCTCAGTAGAACACGGAATGCGGCTCTCCTCGCACGGGGCCACCTTCCCGGCCGAGGAGAGCTCGATAGAGGGAAACCGGATGCGCTTGGGAGCCCGGTGGTTTTCCTCAACTCAAACTAGGACGAGGGCGGGTGGTCCATCGGGAGGAGGAGGGATGGAGAACCTCGGGTAAGAGCGAGGAACCGTCCGCCTCCAGCCCCAGGCGCCACCGGCGAACTCCCTGCGCTGTCCGCGGTGCTGATCGCCCCGCCGTGCTGAACTCACCCGCCAGCGCCGCGGCGCCCAGGAGGCCCAGGACCAGGGCGGGCTGCATCGCCCGGCCGCCCGCGGGGAGGAGGATGCTGCAGAGCGGGAGCCGCGGCCGCGGGATGGGGCTCCGCAGAGCAGAGGCGCGTCCCCGAAGCGGCGGTGCGCGCAGGCCTCGCTCTTTTGAAGGGCAGGTGGGGCGCGGCCCGGGGGCGAGCAGCGGGCGGGGCGCCCCCGGTTCGGCCCTGACGTCACGGAGCGGCCCCGGGGTGGCGCAGCGGGCGGATGCGCAGCGAGTGCGGCTGCGGTGCGCAGGTTCCGAAGGGGTGGGAGCCGGGCGGCAGGAGGGATGCGGAGTGACGGGAGCTGGAGTCTACCCGAGGCACCTGGAGGCGGGGGTCTCGCTCGGATCGTCCGCTCCTGCTCTCCATCTCCCCCGCACACACCTCCAAGCCTGAACAGCGCATGTTTGAAGCTGTGCGTTTGCGTATGGGTCTGCAGAGTGAATGACGAGGCCTGCTTTGTCCCGTCTCTGCCTGGCTGAGGATAAGATTCCTGCTCGAGAGGGAGGACTACCCAGTGTGTCGGTAGACCTGGGCGATGTTGTAAGCCTATCTACCTATCCAATTCTAAGGTCTGCTATTTGTGAACACTCCCCTCCAAGCCGTGTATGTTCAGATGTTTGTTTTTTAAATCGGACAGCCCAAAAGATATACGGCAAAATTCTCTTTTAGCTCCAATTCCCAAGTTCACTTCCCTCTCAGAAGGTATGTGGAACCTCAAGCACTTTCTGTAGTTTAGGCTTATTTAGTTTGGAATATAAACAGCTGGGTCTTTTGAGTGGCCACACTATTTCCTTGAACAGATATTCTGGTGTTTAACCAGCTCTTCCTGATAGGCATGTACTAGATTGTTACCCTCTGGCCTTTAGTTACTTCTTTCCAACCAAGGCATGTAATTGTACACCCTTCAAGTCCTTGCTTACTTTTAAATCGAGATTAAAAACTGTTGAGATGAAAATATCTTCCAGAATACTTTTTAACATGTATTCATTCAGACTAATGAAGAATCAGGAGAAATCATCAAGCACACTCCTGCCCAGAAGAGATACAATCTTCTCATAACAGGTAACAGAGTAAAACTCCACTTGAGTCAAGTGTGGTGGTGCTTACCTTTAATTCCAGCGCTTGGGAGACAGAGACAGGCAGATCTCTAAAGGTTTGAAGCCAGTCAGGGCTACATAGTAAAACCCTGTCCCCCCAAAACAAAGCAAAACAAAACAAAAACCTCGACTTGAGATCCCTTTGGTTAGGTAATGAAGTTGTCTATAGACACAACTGAAAAGAGATTTCAGATTCCCTTTCCTGAATAGTGAGGCTCAAATTCTTTTCACATGTGCTGAGTAGATAGATATGTCTTCCTGAAAATGCTGGGCATTATTTCATCAAAACTACACCTACAGAATATTTCTTTTAAATATTTATGTATTTACTTTCACATTGCTTGGGATGGAAATCAGAGCCTTCAGAATGCTAGGCAAGCACTCTACTACTGAACCTTATCACCAGCACTAGCCCTGGAATATTGAAAATATTATTTTTAAATTAATGGTATTTCTGAGATAACTGGTAAAATTTGAGTAAGACGTATAGATGACACCAACCTACTGTGTTTTATAGGTGAGTAGGAGCTGGAGAAAGCAATAGCACATTCACATACGAGGGGCTGGGGACTTGGCTCAGCAGGTAGGGCATATGCCGCAAAAGCTGATGACCCAACCCATGCGGAGGTGGAAGGAAGGAAAGAACCAATTTCATAAAGTTGTCCTTTGACCTCCACATGTGTGCCTCCCCACATTACACACACAATAATAACAAATGAAACGTTAACACGAAAGAAGCCAGTTGAAGCCAGGTGTGGGGGTGCATGCCTTTAATCCCACACCCAGGAGGCAGAAGCAGGTGGATCTCTGTGAGTTCGAGACCAGCCTGGTCTATATAGCAAGCCCAGCTGGGGCTACCAGGAGAATGGAGACCCTGTCTCAAAAAGACAAAAAAAAAAAAAAGTTGAACGAGAAACACTGGAAACTGTAGCCCACTTGGGCTACATGCAGCAAACAGAGGGTGTGAGAAAAGCTACAGTGTACAGTGTAGGAGAGGCCAGTACAAATGACGTAGAAAAGACCATGAGCCTTGTGGCCCAGCAGTGACCAGGTGCTTTTCCCTAGCTCAGACTAGCCCACTCCCGTTCTCAGGAGTGCATTCCTTTTTTTTTTTTTTTACTTAATTAATTTTTATTTTATGGGTACAAGTGTTTTGCCTTCAGGTATGTAAGTGCACCCATGTGTACAATGCCCATGGAAGCCTGAAGAGGGAGTCAGATCCCTGAAACTGGAGTTACAGACAGTTGTTAGCCACCATGCGGGTGCTGGGAACTGAACCCAGGTCCTCTGCAAGAGTAGCCAGTGCTCTTATCTGCTAAGCCGTGTCAGCTGTTCTTTAAACTTACTTTATGTTTGCACGTGGGTTTTCCAGCGTTTTCTCTCTCTTCTTGTTCCCTTGAGAATCACAGGATTAAACAATGTTAACATCAGCTTGTGACTTCTCGGGTTGGACTTGAGCTAAGTTTATTACTCATTAAGACAAGCTTGATATAGGAACAAGCTTTTCATCATTGCCAATTAGTTTGGACAGCTCTCCTTTTTATTTTTCATTATTTCATAAACTTTTAATGGTTTTCATCTTTTATTTTTAGATTGCTTTATACCAGGAAGGAAAAACCTGCCAAGATGAACATTTTTATCTCAGAGGAAAGGAAGGAGGAAAACCTGGTTTAACGAGGAACCAGGGCTTAGACTAAACATGACTGAGGCAAGGATACGGTCACGGTTTTTAACGATGTCATCATCCGGTTATCCTGGGAAGCCTGCTTGAAGCAGCCCGTTCCTAACTGTGGTGGTTTGAATGATAATGTCTCCCATAGGCTTTAAGTATTTGGACATTTTATCCCCAGTTGGTGGCATGGTTTTCAGAGGTTTTCCTGAGTTGTGGCCTTGCAACCACATCACTGGGGACAGGCTTTGAGAGTTCTTAAGTCTTGCCAGATTTCCAGTAGCCCTCTGTTTCCTGTGCCTGCTCGAAGATGTGATAGGTTGACTTTCTGTTCTGACCACGTTTGCCACCATGCCTTCCCCACCATTATGGACTCTTACCCCTGTAACCCTAAGCTCAAATAAACTCTTCCTTCTATAAGTTGCCTTGGTCACTCACGGTGTTCTATCACAGCGACAGAAAAGTAACTAATACACTAACTCTTCTACAATTTCACTTTGAAAACAAGAACAAAGTTCATATACACATACGTGTTTCTAGACACTGCTGGGTGCTGGCACTTCCCGTTGCATTGGTCTGTTTGCTCACTGAAGCAGCTTGATGTGTTCTCTATACCATACCATTTTAATAGCCATGATGTCTGATGGAAAAAGCTTTTTCATCTGGTATTTTTTTTCAGGAAGCTATTGGCCATTATCTGCCCTTTACATTTTCATTCAAAGTTTGAAATCTATTGTCAATTTCTACTTAAAAACCTTGTTGGGATTTTCACAGGAATGAAACCAAATCTATACAAATCAATTTAGGAATGCTGGCATCTTGCCAACAGTAGAAAGACTTAGCTATTTGATTGCTAATAATATTCTAGATGTAATCTCATCTCAGATAGCACAAAATACTAGGAAAAGAAGTCATGGAAAAGAGTATTAAGGGTATTTCTCAGGAATTCTCTCAAAGAATCAAGGAGGAAGCCAGGTGTGGTGGTACACATCTTTAAGTCCAGCACTAGGGAGATAGAGGCAGGCAGATCTCTGATTTCAAGGCCAACCTGCTCTACATGGCAAGTTCCAGGTCAGTCAGAACTGTATAGGGAGACTCTGTAAACAAACAAACAAACAAAAAAAACTCAGAGGAAAACAAACACATCTGTGGGAGCCAGGATTTAAGAAAACCCATGGTTTTGTTCATGGTTTCTAAAATAGGTCATTTATCAGTGACCTAGAAAATAAAAACAGTAAGGGGAATTTGGTACTGGATGGGATTAGAAATACTGAAAGAGGCTGGAGAAATGGCTCAGCGATTAAGAGCACTACCTGCTCTTGCAGACGACCCAGGTTCAGTTCCTAGTACCCACATGGCAGCTTATGTGCATACATAACTTCAGTTCCAGGGACTCTAACACCCTCTTCTGACCTCCACTGGTACTGCATGACACGGGTGCACTCAAATCCATGCAGGCAAAACACATAAAATAAAATTTAAAAAATCAAAACAAAACCAAAAAAAAAAAAAAAAAAAAAAAAAAAAAAGAAAAAAACTGAAAGAATAAGCAGGGAAGGTAAAGGAAGGCTGGTTAGAACTGCAGGTGACTGCTTCCTCTCTGCAGATGGAAGGAAGGACAGCAACAGGCCACTTAGGAAGGTGAGAGTCAGGGCCCGGAAGGGCTGTTGGACAGGAGCTGGAAACAAAAAGATGTTGCCATTACTAGAGATATAACCTCTTCTCCCAAGAGGAAGGGGGAAAGAATAAGCAGGGAAGGTAAAGGAAGGCTGGTTAGAACTGCAGGTGACTGCTTCCTCTCTGCAGATGGAAGGAAGGACAGCAACAGGCCACTTAGGAAGGTGAGAGTCAGGGCCCGGAAGGGCTGTTGGACAGGAGCTGGAAACAAAAAGATGTTGCCATTACTAGAGATATAACCTCTTCTCCCAAGAGGAAGGGGTAGAAATACCTTGACTTTTTCTTTGTTTTCAATGCCGGTGCCTCTTAGCAATTGAAACTACCTGGGGACAACAGGGGAAGCCAGGACAAGCATTTACAAGGGCCAGTCTCCCCAGCAATACAGAGCAGAGCAGAGGAGAAGCAGACAGCACACAGACAAACGAACGCTGTGTAGCTCAAGCATCGAATTTGGATTTTTTTCTTTCCTAATTCACTAATTTGCTTCACTTGTCTATATGAATGGCATCTATGCATCACGTACTGTGGTGGATGCATGTTTCCCTGGCTGCAGTAAATCCTGTGATGGATCCTAATGTCGGCACAAGAAAATAGTCTCTACCTACTTTAATAGAGGTAGCCAGGGAGTAAAGGT